GTTTTGCATGAACATATTGAGATTTGTTGGTTTTTCATGGTTGGTTGTGCAACTTTTTTATAGTTTTCGTCGTCTCCAATAGGGGAATTTCCTTTGTTGTTCTTAATGCATATGTGTGCTGGTTAACTGATTTTGCTTATATTTGTCTGGCTTTTTGCTCTGGGTTTTGTATGAACATATTGAGATTTGTTGGTTCTTTTTTTCATGTGTATGTTTTGAACCTACTGAGTTGGGATGTAATGGGGATGGGCAGCTCAATTTAGGGCATTGTGTTTTTTCCTCTTTTTCAAATTGTTGTCCTGCCAATATTATTGTCTATTATCACCTTTTTGTTTCGCTTTATGAGAGGATTTAGTAGTGACTTTATGAGCGGATTTTATTGTGAGTAAACTTCTTGACTCCCACTTATTTTAGTGTTTAGATTTGTCCACTTGATTGAAGTCAATGTCTTCTAGGGAAACCACTGATAGGATGTTCAATTCAGATAAGGCGTGCCCTCAATATATGGTTGATATGGATAGTATTTCTTTCTCTTTCCGTGATTTTGTTCGTTTAATAGTCTTTAGCAAGATGCGTATGCAGCTATATGTGATTTTATATTTATTGAACTTTTGATATGGATAGTATTTCTTACTTGTGTTTCTTATATATGATGATGGTAAAGAAATAGAATGGATGTAGGGTGAATCTATACTAAAAAAATTGGAATCAATGGGCAGTACCAAACAAGTATTTCCATTGCATTGTACTAATTATCAATCATATGTTCAATACTTTATCAAATTAAAATTATTCATACCATCATGTTTATAATCCTTGGATGATCAGAATAAGCGCAAGCAGCTTTTAAAAAGTTGGGCATTGGACTGGTTAAATCATTTTGAAATTTAATTGTGAATTCGTAAGATTACTTGTCTTGTTATTCCATTCGAGTTTCATTAAATATTTTTGGTAATCATCTTGCTAGCCACCCTCTCGTGAATGTATTGGGATTTGGTAATCATCTTGCTAGCCAAGATCTTAACAGATCGTAATATATGCTGCAACAATTATATGCAAGCTACCTACATATTTGTTAGTATATGTGTCCTAGAGACAATCAATGTGGGACAAATGTACTTGATCACA